ATGAACAAGACCCCACCCCAGTTGGTGACATCAAAATTCTAATGGGTGGTGTGACATGAATGCCAAACTGGGAGCCGACACACATGAAGAGAACTCACCATGGGTCGAGAAGCACTTGGTGAAATGAACAAGAACGGAGAACTGTTTGCAGACTTCTGCGCATTCAACGATTTGGTGATTGGAGGCGAGGCAGTGTGTACAAACACAAGGATATTCGCAAAGCGACATGGATTTCACCAGACACTAGGACACACTAGGAATCAGATCGACTTCATCTCAATGTGAAGAAAGTGGAGACGCAGCCTACTGGACACAAGATGAGATCAAGAAGAGGAGCAGATGTAGGCTCAGACCACTCGCCATCTAGTGCAAGGAGCCTTCAAAGTTAAGTTGAAAGCCTTCAGAGAAGTTGGTGATAGACCACAGTTCAAGTTCAACACACAGAACAGAAACTGAAGGACGAAACTACAAAGAACATATTCACGTCAACCATCAGAACAAAATGGGAGACATTGAGCAACATCCCTGAAGGATCGGGTGTGGAAGAACACTGGAACTCTTTGAAAGAGATGTGGAAGGGAACCTGCATAACCGTGTTAGCAAGGAAGAAGGAGTGGATCTCCACGGACACATGGAAGCTGATAGAGCTGGGAGAGGAAGATGGTGAAACAGAAGATGAACCAGTGCAATGCAGTGCAGTGCAGTGCAGGGATGAACAACGAAAAGAAGAACTGAATACAACCTATAAAACACTACATTGGAAAAAGACGTGAAGAAGAGTGCGTGCAAAGACAAAAGACAATTCTACGACACACTGGTAGGTGAAGCAGAACAGGCTGCAGGTAGAAGAGATCTGACAACTTTATATCAAATAACCAGGTCACTATCCGGGAAGAGATCAACACAGATGAAACCAGTGGAAGATAGTGAAGGAAATTTAATTACAAAAGAGAAGAAACAAAGAAAACGATAGGCTGATCATTTCAAAAAAAAACTCTTGAATCGACCACACCACCAACTGCAACTTGTCCAGAAATACCACCAGCAGCCCAGCCACTGAACTACCAGTGAACACAAACACTCTGACAAAAGTCGAAGTCCTGAATGCCATAAAACTGCTGAAATTCGGAAAAGCAGCAGGACCAGATGGAATTCCGCCATAAGCACTGAAAACAGAATCTGGGACAACAGTGAACGCATTCACACCACTATTGCAAAAGGTCTGGAATGAAAGGAAGGTACCTGTCGGTTGATTGGAAGAAGGGCCACCTTGTCAAACTCCCAAGGAAGGGAGACGTAAGCCTTTGCAAGAACTGGCGCAGAACCATGCTCCTGTTCACCCCAAGCAAAATATCAAGCCTTGTCATCTTGGAGAAACTAAAAGCTGCATGGCATTCAAAATTACAACCGGAACAGGCTGGTCGGCTTCAGGAAGAACAAATCATGTGCGGATCAAATTGCAACGCTACGCTACGCATCATCATAGAACAGAGTATAGAATGACAGTCAACCCTCTACCTCAACTTCATCGACTTTGAAAAGCCATTCGACAGTGTCAAACGAGAAGTAATTTGTCAGGCAGCTGCTTCAACACTACGGTTTCAATGCCACAAACCTTTTTCAATCTCATTCAAAAGCTACTTGACGAAGCTACATGCCGATTGCTTCACAATGAGAAGCTCAGCGATGATTTTGAAGTGAAGACAGGGGTAAGACAAGGCTGTATGCTATCACCCTTGGTCTTCCTGATTGTGGTCGACTGGACTGGACTGGACTGGACTGAATCATGCAACAAAGTGTGAGGAGCGAGAAGATAGGCATACGCTGGTTGGACCGATGAAAAGATCCTAGAAGATTTGGATTTCGCTAATGACGATTTATGTCTTGTCTCTAATGTCGCACAAACTAGAAGATCTACAGGTGAAAATGAACAAGTTGGCAGAAGAGGCAGGTCAGCAAAGGCGAGACTTCAGGTGAACGTGGAGAAGACAGAGGTGATGAAGATACCCAACCAACAACTACAACAACAACAAGCACTAATCACCATCAATGGAAGAATTCTAAAGGAAGTTGTCGCTTTCATCCACCTAGACAGCATCCTTTCAACCACTGGCAGCAGTACAGATGAGGATGTCAAGGCCAGGATCGGAAAAGCAAGAGAGGCTTTCATTAATCTGAAACCAGTGTAGAGATCTACTGTACTCACCACAAAGAACAAGGTCTGGATTTCCAACACCAATATCAAGTCAGTGCTTCTATGTGATGGTTGAGAGACTTGGCGCGTTACGAAAAGCACTTCCAACAAACTACAGACATTCATCAACAACTGTCTACGCTGGCTCGTTACTGAAGATCAGATGGCCAGAAAGAATAAGCAACAAGGACCTCTGGCCTCTGACTGGCAACGAACCAACCAAGAACCTATTGCTGAACAAATATGCAGAAGGAAGTGGAGATGGATTGGATTGGGCATATACTGAGAAAACCACTAGGAGACATCACGCGTCAGGCCAGGCCCTCGAGTGGAACCCAAATGTTAAGCGACGAGTTGGACGTCCGAGGGTGACATGGAGGAGATCATGTGAGGAATAAATGAGAGCTTGTGGGCAGTCGTGGAGCCAGGTTCAAAAGACTGCAGAGAAGAGAGTGAAATGGAGACATGCTACTGAAGCTCCGAGGACAAATAATCTAATGTATATGGATGTTTCTATGCAATGTTACTGCTTAGCTGTATAAAATACATGTTCATAGTATGTTATATCTTATTAACTTTTGCACTCTATGTATAATGTTTTGAATGGAAACTTCAGTGAGTCCTCCAATATATCTAAGGAGGTAAGCTGATGTCCGCTCATTAATGTCAATACTCCGTTGTTCATCAGTATTATACACCAAGGAAATTTTTAGCTTATCCATAAAACTGCTGATGTTTTGATTGAAAGAAATGGAGCTTCTCAAAAATGTTATATCTAGTGTACTAACTTGACAAAAGGCAAAACAAAAGCGAAGGTGTAATGAACTGTCGCTCTCCTCTTAAACGGTTTTTACTTTATCATCTCAGTCAACCTGGTTTATTAACCCTATTTGTTCACTTAAGTTATTTGTTCTCTCGATGTCTTTCATAGAAACAGTGTCGTCCTCCCCTATGTGTTTTATTGATGCGGTGTCATTAATGCCAATTCTGTCGATATAAACTGTTACTTAAAAGGTTTCCCCTCAACTTCAAGCAGCACCCTCTGTACATCTAGATCGGTGCATCAATTCGAGTTATCGCCCCTAGATTGCCTAATTAACATTCAGTTATTGTACATATTTCTGTCTGCTTCTGTTCTCTTATATTTGCAAATTGTGGTAACTCAGTTAGTAAGCTTTAATGTGCTGATATCAGTGTCTTTATAGTCTCAGTTATACGTCTCCTTGAAAAGTGAAACAAACACTCAGCTACGTGTCTTGGGTTTACTAATAATATGTTAGACAAGTGAGGTGACTAAATGCAGCAAAATCTGGAAACAACTTGCATACATTCGGCAATACCAAGAAGTGATAATAAAAGGCGTTAATAAGTCGTAAATTATATTTCATGTCTGTCACCAGACGGAATTCTTTCTTATCATCGGACTCAACCAACTGAACTCAAACATTATGAACAAAGATTTATACAAACTGAATAATCTAATAAAAATATGCAGTTTTCGAGTGTTTCTCATAAACAGTGAATACAAGTTCATTTAACTTTTTCTTATCAGAACGTTTGTTTCGCGAACAATACTTTCGTGTAGCAGTTATAAAGAAAGATCCATTCTAATTATACTGAATTCAAGAGATGAATCTATATCAAAGTACTTATCCGAAGTGGAAAGTACTAACCGTTAAGCCAATGAAATATACTACTGAACAACTTGAGTAGGTAGAAACCACCGCTGATGATGAGCTCGATACCACACAAGTGAAATGACTGCCCGGTGTTTGGATCACTCTGATGTGGCTGGCGAAATCTAGAAATCAGCCAGAGCGGTTTCTAACTACTCAAGTTGTTCGGTGGTATATTTCATCATTTCACGACACTTTTGTCCCAGATATTACACCTTTCCATCTTAGTTATTTGATTTCTACCGGAAACTCTGTTGATGCCAAAGTTGAGCAGTTGAAACACTACTCAGCTGTGAGAAATATTAACGCAGAGCGTGCAACTTGTTAACCACTTGCAAATTGATCACTGTTAAGCTCTTCACTAGAATATGCACTATTTGGTTCAAATAGCAACCTTCAAGAAGCTGCAGAGACACTTTGTTGACTAATACGTGCAACTTGAATGAAAAGCTTTGATCAAATAATTCTAAGCTAACCATAATATGATTTCAGAAATGTTTACTTGATTGAAAGAAGACCAGAAAGAGTCTATGGGTCGCGTTTTATACAGTAGCTTCTCAATATTTGCACGTTTCGGTGAATGAAGAAACTTTTCAAAAACCCAGAAAAACTAGATTCCATAAATTTTTGCTCATGAAAGAAACCGATGTTTTCTGCCTGACTAAGAGACAGAACAGAGAGTAACATTTAAGGACTTTGTTTCTGAAATATGGGAAAGTTCGATAGTTTTCTGTAGAAGCAGGTGCGTTATTTAAACGATTTGGGTGTAATGTACCTTTCCTTGTTGATCTTAAAACTTGTCAAGAAGTGCATTCAACCTAACTTCATGAAACTGCAAATATTTCACGGAAAAAAGACATTTTGCACACAAGACAACACTTTGTTCCAGGGTTATCTGATGACCTACAGCAGTATTTCATAACAGCTAGTGCAGTATGATATCGTTCGACCTAATCTTATTGCCACACTGTGTTGTTTGGTTATTGCGTATCAATCACCACTGAAGGTACAATAGGAATCCGTCTTAGTAACTGACTAATGTGTTTTCACCTAAAGTACACAGTCTAGAAAGGGTATCAGAGTTTATAATACGTTCACATTTAAAGAAGCACAATGTTCAGTTCACCTACCTGATGTATTTCTTGTAAACCATCTTTGTCTACAACACCAATTTTTGAGTGTTCATACAACAGACTATGACATATTCTTGTATCTGGATCATAGAGTATATTGTAGTATAAAGGAGTTAAACCAGATCTGTCTAAACAGTTTGGTGATTGTCCAAAATCCAGCAATGTCTACAAGAAAAGAAATGGGAATAAGGGAATTTATAGTGGCTTGCTGGTGGACTAACATTCCATGAAAATTTACAAAAGGATACCCGTATTCTCCCAATTTAAACGTCTTTAAAATTGCGTAAACCTGACCTTCTTCAACAACTTTAGGTCAATTGATGAGTACAGTAGCATTTAGTGAGTGAATGAGAATACTACTCAGAGCATTTTTATAATTTAAGTCAACCTATCACCCACAATAACTGCTTTTCAGTATAGCTTGTAAACACACTTTTTCTCAAATACTACGCATTTGGTCTCAGAGTAGTATTACCCTGTTTTGTAGTCATTTGTAAGTTATTTTTCAAATTTTCTCGATAAGGAAAAAACGCTGACTGATGACATTAAAATCAGTTGACTGAACAGTAAAGTGCTCACTATCAAATTTGGAATATTACTGTCAACTAAATTAAGCCCAAATTCGGATTCAGCGATCTGTTGATCAGTGATTTTACAACTGATGGTGTTTTGTAATGGAAAATATACCTCAAAATAGTATTTAAACACTACTGATGAATGTTGGGAATTAAACAGAACAAAAATATGATGGACCCACCTTGACACCTTCAAAATTGCCAACTGTTACGGCTTTATGAAGTGGTGTATAACCAGATAAGGAATAAAAGTCTCTATGTGCACCACCTGAGATTAAAGTTGATATCATTTCATAAGGCTTTGATCGAGTCACCGCTACCGTCAATGGAGTTTCTATCATTGGAGAGAGAGAATATCATCATTATTATTAGTTTTTCTTACCTCCTGTTTTTGGACAATGTATGTTTGGATCGAATCCTTTCAACAGCAATTTCCCTACCTTTTGACATTCGCCTCGAGACACATAACGGAAAAATGTCTTGATAAAGTTCTATTTGAAGGGAAAATACACACATGTACATGTATATAGCAGACAGTACCTTCGAAATCTTACTCATCAGTGTCGGTGACATATGAAATGGTGAGACAGTTCGACGTTTATAAATAAACTAAAAATAATCAAAGATGATAAATCAGTACAATCACTATTTAAAATACCTCCAAAGAGATCACTATTTTTCCACTAATGTATTCAGATAAGAGACGTTCTTCTTCGAGAAATTTACCCTTTCGACTTGGTTCATCAGGTTGGTAAAGACCCATATTTTGGGAATCATTCAACAGATTACCGAATGTATGCAAAAGTTTCTTTTTAATATCCAATATGACTGCATCACCAATAACTTTCAGCATCGTCTACAAAAGTTGAACAATATCCAAACAAAGGATCATCAGAAACTTACTTGTGTATTTAAGTCTTTTATGATAATATGTAGTTCCGTGATTTTTGGCAATTCAATTTGTACATATGTATTTGAAGTATTGGCTAGACTGTTGACACTTTTGTTTGAATCACTGTCAGCTAGATACGATAAAGTGAACTTCTTCATTGTCCAATTCCTTTTCTTTGCCTGTTTTTATTGTTGAGTGTTTGCTTCAGTAAAATTTACTTATTGATTTGGTAAGATGTTCGAAAACTTCAGTGTTGAACAGCATGAAACATTCTATTGACCTAGAAAAAAATAGGATTAAAAACTTCATGAACCTCTTTTATTGCATTATGAGTGAGTATGGAAATAAGTCAGTAGAAGATTTGAAGTCTAGTCAGTTATTCGCGGTGATTATTTGTCTGGAGTTTGATTCAGAAGCTTTACTATTATCATTAGATTCTTCAGCTGCATATTCTAACAACTTCGATTACAGTTGATTGTCCCGAAAAATACAGTGACTGTGTCAACATACTATTGCTAATGAATAACAAAAATCGGTTTTTATTTCATTACAATAGGTTTTCTGCTATTATTTTAAAATAACAGGAAACTATTGGTTTTCGAACATTTAAATTAATGCCATTTCAAGTGTTTCAATTCGAACCAGTTATCAGTTTCACTTGGTACCTTTAAATTGAAAAGGTCATTTATGCGATAGTGGGTAGTGGATCATCAATAAGTTGAATTTCTCCTCAAATATGAGTTGTACTTTTTATTTGGAAAGGTTTGTGACCACACAGAAGAAGGAGTTTATAGTTCATGTCAATCCTGTATCCCTAGATCATTTCAACGAAGATCATTCGCAGAAACAACACATCAGCCACGCCGTTTTAAACTGCCCATGAAATATTTGGGGGGTGCATGAATGAATTCTAAATTTCGATGAGTAACAATAACTACATAATCTTAGTTCAAGGGTTCCTGTTTACCTCTTTAGGGTTTTAGAGTGTTAAGGAGGTTAGTAAGAAGCTGCAACACATTTGGTTTGAATCCTGTTTACTGTTTGTTATTCAAATGTTTCTGTGATAACTCTAGAGATTCATCTTTATTTGGTTCGTGCAACAGATGAATCAACTGTGTAGGAGATACTGTCATAATAGGTGTATGCAAAAAATCCAGTACGTTATAACGATCCAGTGGTAGTTTACTTGAAGTTAAATGCCACAACAAACCAGCAAAGAAAACAAGTATATCCTACAATCTGATTGGCTGACAATTCACTCAGAAAGAAGTACGAGATTATGCTAGATTAATTCAGACATTCGCAGTTATATTAAATCTTCAATTCCGTGAAAAATTGATAAAATGTCTTATTCTATTCATATCTAGGTGAACAACTCAGACAAGTGTATTTGAGTTGCATGTGCTAGTATGGGCCCCAGCCAGTTGTTGGTAACCTCTCAAGCCGGTAAATAGTTGATTACAGTGAATGTTTTAAACTTATTATATCCTTCCAGTACTCAAATAAGAGGTGCATAGAGATGATAAATGTCTAGTATTCACAGTTCTGGATAGTTGTTTTGCCTAATATGGGACTCCTCAGTAGTGGCCACTCACGACTCTGCCAGGGACTGAATCCAGACGAGTAAGTTACCATTCAGTAGCTGAGTCCTGATGATTCTGAGTTTTATCTCTGGTAGCATCATTGGCACACTAAAGATCTACTGAAACGGAAAACCCGTCCAGTGTTACCAGGTTCCCAATGGTCCTCCAACTGACATTAGTCCATAATGAATATCGCCCTGAAAACAGTCCTCACAAACCCATAAACTGAATTCACAGTTCTGTGGGTACAATATATTGATTAGTTTATATTTATTATCTAAATGGCGACAAAACAGCAAAGTGATCACAATCAGGTTATAGAAATTAATTATTCAAACTTAGAAGTCATTCACTAACATTTTTAATCATAAAATTACACCTTTTATAATAAAACTGATGTTTATGTGAAAATTGTTTGTGCGAATAAAACGATGTTCTTTCTGGACTAAAAAAACCCTGATAATTGGCTAAAAAAGAGAGTAATTGAATGATATGACAGGAGATAAAGCTTATTGTAGAAATTATAGGGAAATCATTTTGAACAACACTTTACATAAAGCTTTGCGAACCACAATCATTCTACATCTGAACGGGACCCAGACACAACAATTCTGAGAAAACGAGGAAGGTTTTCAATCTGGACAATGGTGTATTGATTAGACCTCTTCTCATCAGCTTCTGGCAAGAAAGCATATTTGTCAACACCCTTTTTTATGTCTAAGCTCGACGACTACACTGATTTCTGTCGGTAGGAAGGTGTTGTGGCACTGCCCCGTTGGGAAAAAAATTATCTGAACAAGGATGTAGAGTTTATCTCTACTCGGTACGACGTATCCATATACGTGCTTATGACAGTTTTCGTCTGAAGTACTGATAATCAATGATGACTAACAAGGATGGCTATTATCACCACACCTACCTAGCCTTAATACAGATATGCTGACGGATATGACTCCATGTACCTCCCTCTACTCACAGACTGACTAAGTTTATGGAGGGCATCTGGCTGACCTACACTACCTAGTCTTCTACGTATTACGATATGAGGTGTGATGACTTGAACCGTTAAGGAGTACTTCAAGGTTCTGCTTTTATACTAAATTAGTGATTGAATGAACCATTGTTGCAACCTGAATTACGCATAAAGACTTTAAGAGAACATATAATTGTCATTGTAACTGGATATCGTTGATCAAGAACGAAAACTGTGTAGCCCCTTAATCTCATTTAATAATGAAATTAATAATTGAAAAACTTCATTAACACTTCATCTAATGTTTTATCAAGCACTAGTCACTGTGACCTTGAGCATTTAATAAGTCAGATATAAAGCGACACGAATTCCTCGCAATGTGAAAGAAAGTGGAGACGCAGCATGAAAACAGACGCAGAGGCAACAGCGGACGCATTCACACCACCGTTGTAGAAGGTTTGCAAGGAAGAAAGGAAGGAAAGGTTTTTGCCGACTGATTGCAAGAAGGGCCATCTCGTCAAACTCCCAAGGAAGGGAGACGTAAGCCTTTGCAAGAACTGGCGCGGAACCATGCTCCTGTTCACCCCAAGCAAAACATCAAGCCTTGTCATCTTGGAGAAACTAAAAGCTGCATGGCATTCAAAATTACAACCGGAACAGGCTGGTCGGCTTCAGGAAGAACAAATCATGTGCGGATCAAATTGCAACGCTACGCTACGCATCATCATAGAACAGAGTATAGAATGACAGTCAACCCTCTACCTCAACTTCATCGACTTTGAAAAGGCATTCGACAGTGTCAAACGAGAAGTAATTTGTCAGGCAGCTGCTTCAACACTACGGTTTCAATGCCACAAACCTTTTTCAATCTCATTCAAAAGCTACTTGACGAAGCTACATGCCGATTGCTTCACAATGAGAAGCTCAGCGATGATTTTGAAGTGAAGACAGGGGTAAGACAAGGCTGTATGCTATCACCCTTGGTCTTCCTGATTGTGGTCGACTGGACTGGACTGGACTGGACTGGACTGGACTGAATCATGCAACAAAGTGTGAGGAGCGAGAAGATAGGCATACGCTGGTTGGACCGATGAAAAGATCCTAGAAGATTTGGATTTCGCTAATGACGATTTATGTCTTGTCTCTAATGTCGCACAAACTAGAAGATCTACAGGTGAAAATGAACAAGTTGGCAGAAGAGGCAGGTCAGCAAAGGCGAGACTTCAGGTGAACGTGGAGAAGACAGAGGTGATGAAGATACCCAACCAACAACTACAACAACAACAAGCACTAATCACCATCAATGGAAGAATTCTAAAGGAAGTTGTCGCTTTCATCCACCTAGACAGCATCCTTTCAACCACTGGCAGCAGTACAGATGAGGATGTCAAGGCCAGGATCGGAAAAGCAAGAGAGGCTTTCATTAATCTGAAACCAGTGTAGAGATCTACTGTACTCACCACAAAGAACAAGGTCTGGATTTCCAACACCAATATCAAGTCAGTGCTTCTATGTGATGGTTGAGAGACTTGGCGCGTTACGAAAAGCACTTCCAACAAACTACAGACATTCATCAACAACTGCCTACGCTGGCTCGTTACTGAAGATCAGATGGCCAGAAAGAATAAGCAACAAGGACCTCTGGCCTCTGACTGGCAACGAACCAACCAAGAACCCATCGCCCAACAAATATGCAGAAGGAAGTGGAGATGGATTGGATTGGGCATATACTGAGAAAACCACTAGGAGACATCACGCGTCAGGCCAGGCCCTCGAGTGGAACCCAAATGTCAAGCGACGAGTTGGACGTCCAAGGGTGACATAGAGGAGATCATGTGAGGAATAAATGAGAGCTTGTGGGCAGTCGTGGAGCCAGGTTCAAAAGACTGCAGAGAAGAGAGTGAAATGGAGACGTGCTACTGAAGCTCCATGTTCGACTAGGCACCCATGGGACACATAAATTATTAAAATAAATCTAGCGATAAGGAGTAAACCAACTTATAATTTTTATTAGACTCCAGAAATTGCTAAAATATCGAATTGAAATACACTCGGCAACTCACATGGACGTCAGTGTAATGGGCGATTTGCCATACCGATTTCTGAGACCTAGTAATACTCGTCAGGGTCTCAAGACTTCGACAGTTGGAGCGGTATTTGAAAGCGTGGCTCATCAACTGTATAGTAAAGGCCTAGACGAGTGGGTTACAGCTTCATCTAGAAGGTACTAGGAGACTGACCACTGGTCCTTATGGCTTGATTCAGCAACCGTTTGTTTGCAAAAAAGATATCATTATTTCTAACAATCATCAAAGTAAAGTAGTCAGGTAAGAATATTTTTCGAGATCCTCATAAAAATGACTTTTAGAAACCTGATAGATTATCCTCTTTTCATCAATATGGGAATAAAAGTATGATCACTATCATACTAAGCTTATGTCTGTCTCCGCAGAATTCTCAGGAGATAGTGGAAGGTGAAACTGGAGTAAAGTATATCTTACGACATGAGTGAACTTAGCCTAGCCACTAGCCAACATATGCATACGATGAACGGAAACGGTGTAAAGCGTGCATTGTGGTATAATCGAACCCATGTTTAGGA